CGCCTCAATCATATAAGATCTTCTGCAGAAAAGGACAAATACCACCGGTGGGGCAGGGGAAGGCCGGCCGGCAGAAGTGCAGTCTCCTGCCACCCGGATAAGCAGGCAGGGGAGCGGGGTGGCCGGGGCTGTGGGGGGGTGGTTTGCCGGTTGGGGAAGCAGGCAGGAAGGACAGCAGGAGTCTGAGGAAGAGAGGGAGAGGGCACGAGCTCTGGAAGAGAAGGAAGGGAGGAGAAGACGCAGCAAGGGAGAGGAGGCGGGAGAAGAGGGAGAGGAGGGAGAGGAGGGAGAGGAAGAGGGGGAAGGAGATGAGGAGGGGGAGGTGGTGGCGGCGGTGGTGGAGGAGGTGGTGTGTCTGCGAGGGAGTGCACCGTCAAAGCACAGTGAGTCGCTTCCTACTGCTGCTGTTGCTAGATCCTTCCTTTCCAGTAATTCTGTTTGCTGGAGTTCCTGCCTCTTACGAGTATTCCACTCACCTCCAACCCTTCATACTCACATTTCCCTTGCTCACCTATCTTCACCTTTCCCTTCCCTCTCTGTGTTCAGGCTGTGTCATCTGGACGACCTGCTAAAGGAGTCTCTGCTAGTGGAGTATCTCCCCACCAGGACGGTAAGCACCAGGCACGCATAGCTCTATGTCTTCTTCTCCCTATTTTCTCTTCCACTTCCACATACTCTCCTGCACCCGCAAATCCTGATCAACCCTCCACTCCCCTCTCCCTTCCTCCCTCCCCTTTTCACACTTTCCCCCTCCCCTCTTTTCCCCCTCCCTCCTTGCATCTTCTCCTCCCAAAAATGGGCGTCCACACCGAACGACCCACCGACTCTCAATGGCACCACCACCACGGAGGATGACGAGTGGGTGCCGCGCTTTGTGACGCTCACGCCCACCGACATAGCATGCTACCTGCACGCCACCGACCTGCACCCGCAGATCACCCTCCCCGTCGCCTCCATCGCCTCTGCCGGCACCCTCCACATGGCCCTTGCATCTCCGGCTGTAGCAAAGGAGACATCATCTGCTGTAGCGCCGGCTGTAGCAACGCCGTCATCGGAATGGTTTGCGTTCCACGTGACGACCAGCTACGGGTTCAAACTGGAGTGTGCCACTCGCAGCTGTGCCAAGGTGAGGCTCGTCGCGTTCTGGCAGTCTTTCGTTCACCCATCTTCACCTCTCATTACCCCTCTTGCTACCCAAACGTTCACCTATCTAACCTCAAGCCGTTCCTCCCGTGCAACGCCTCTGTCCCTCCGTGCAGCTGCAGCTGAGGCTGGCAACAATGCATGAGGTAATTGCCAATGCAGGCATCAACTCCAGCTTTGATGCATCTCAAACATGTCCATCTAACCACCACTCTTTCCTGTCCTCCTGTGTCATTCTCCTTCCCTCCGTGCAGCTGCAGCTGTGGCTGGCAACAGTGCACGAGGCCATTGCTAATGCTGGCATCAACTCTACAACTGTCGGCAGCACCATTCCCCTGCCTCCTCCCAACCTCACCTGCTCTTGATTCAAGACCGGAGTTCCGAGGGTGTTACCTGTTGAAACCTGGCAACAGGTGCATAAGCAGATTGCCAATGCTGGCAACAACTCTGCTACTGTCGGCAGCACCATCCCGCTCCCTCCCCCCAACCTCACCTCTCACCTGCTCTTGATTTGAAGGCATTATTGGCTGGCTAAAATGAGCTGGCGATTCAGCAGTAGTTTCATGGCTGCCACATCTCACAGCACCATGCTGCACCGCATTGTACCACACCACGCGCACACACGCACCAAGCACCACGCCAACTGGCATGTACTGTAGGTGGGAGTCCAGGACATTGCCTTGCACCACACCATAGGCATGCAAATAAGGGACTTGTGGTTGTGGGAGATGTCCATGTGGTTTAATTTAGTATATTTACAAACTTTTGATTTATATTGTGTTGAATAATGCCCTGTTTTGAAAAAATGCTTTCAATCTGTGGGTGTTGGCCCTATTCCAGTAATTAGCGTTATAGAAACTGCTAAGATACAGTTAATCAATTTGTTACTGTGTACATTATTCACCAACTTTTCAACTGTGGGATTGCCGGATGGGCCGCAAAGGGGTCGTGGGTTTCGAACGCTAGTCGCGAAAGTGTGTTCCGCATGAGTGACGAATAGCCTATCATAGTGAAGAACAAGATAGCCCTGGCTCACCCTCCTACACCAGCCACCCCTCGGTCTCGTTCGGCACATCCACCTCACCCCACCCCACCCCACCCCCCATTTTGTAAGTTCACTTTTCAAATCCCCGTGTTCGCTGGCAGGAGATGTGTTGGGGGAAGTCTAGCCTCTGCATCCACCAAGGCGAGATTCTGGACAGGAAGGAATTCGACGACTCAGTACACGTGTCAGAACCCCGAAAGGCAGACACCTTCCGCCGCCCTCTTGGACACGTGCAGCGTGAATCGTCTGCTTGTGCATGTGCTGCTAGGGTGACATGTCCTGCTGCTGGCGCCATCGTCGTGTGAATGATATCATGTCGCGAGTCGAGACGACTGAGATCCGTCCAAGATTAGCACCAAACTGTTCTAAGGAGCTTCCAGACTAGCGAAAATAGAGCGCAACTGGGAGTCAACTTGTGACGAGCTGTTCAGTGCGGAAGTGGTCACCGAAACTTCGCGAAATCGTCACGGATATCGCCACGCTTGCCAGCTCATCTTCGCGAATACGTCGCTGGCAAGCACGCCAGTTTCGCTTCGCTTCCAGTCGAGTCAGGTCAGGACGAACGCGCTGACCTCGCCCTTAGGCAACCTTGCGGCGTCGCCTCCCCTATACCTCAGGTTTCCGACTCAAGATTACGTTCGAATCAACCTTCGATTCCTCCGTTCTTCTTGGCGGGAGATGCGTTGGGAGAAGCCCTCTATTGAGCCTAAGTCTCGCACAATGAGAGCTTCTGGACTGAAAGGAATCCGACGACTCAGTACCCGGAACCCGGCAGACACATCATGTGACCATACCTTACGCCCGCGGCCCGCTTGCGAAAGCGGACAAGCGTTGCGCGAGTCGTCCGTGCTTGCACGCATGTGCTGCTAGGGTGACAGCCCTTCTCCTCCTGGCACCATCGTCGTGTGAAAGAATTCACGCGAGTCGCACAACAATGACCCGTCCAAGATTGTCACCCAACTGCTCTAGTAAAGGAGCCTCCTCCCCCCCCCCCCCGCATAAGTAGCAACGAACTTGGCTGTTCTTGAACAACGCGTTGTTATCTTTGCTCGCTTCTGAACCTTGCTTACTGCCACTACTAGTACTGTAACATCAACGGACGCTCGTCTCTCTCTCATCTCGTATCATGGAGCGGACTGTGCTTTGCTGGGTACTTATACGTAAGCGCCGCCCATTCACGCCCTTTTTGCAAGTGCATCCGATGCATGGCTCTGCCGCCTTCTGATTAAAACTCGTCTCGGGTGGTGTTTGTGCCTTGTGCAGTTGTAACGGTCGTCATGGTGAGTGCAGAGTCTGCAACGTCATCGCTCCCAACTATCCCCGCAGCGTCACCCCTCGCAGCCTTCCTCCCCACCGGCGGGCGGCTGCCTGTCACTTCCTCCCCTCACGCCACTCCGTTGGTGAAGGGAAAGGTGTTTGGTGAGTTCTTCCTTCAGCATATGACGTCTCAAGCAATGATTTCCATGAAAGTTTTGTCGGTCTGTGCTCCGTTTGTTACTGTTATTACTTCTCCGGTTGCCTAGGGGCATGCTGTCTTTCTTCCACAACTGAAAGTTTGGTTCATACACGAGTCAACACACCTACCCACTCCATTGGCTTAGACCAATCATCCAAGAACCAGAAAGGGCAAGTACTTGGAAGTTTTTTTTTTTTTTTTTTTTTTTTTTTTTTTTTTTTTTTTGTTTTTTTTTGCTCACTCCCCCTCGTAGCAATGGGAAAGTGGTTGGCGACCTAGGAGCAAACGGAAAAATGACTATAAAGGGAATAAAGTAAGTTCACTATCTCTTAACCACTTTGTTGGAGCCATGCAAATGTTGGCAGCAATTGCCATCAACGTTATTGATAATATCTTGGATCATTCAGGTGCAGAAAAAAAAAGTTGCTACCTGTGCTTTAAACACTTCTAAGAGGGTGAACGCGTCTTATTATCCCGACATTGCTCACATATTGTGTGGAGAGCCACATGAATCAACACGTGATGCTCATGTTCCTTCTATTCTCCCTTGCCTCGGTGACAGGTCCTCTGCAAGTGTCAGCTACGCTGTGCTCAAAATACGAGTCAACCACCTCCGGTCTGGAGGGGCTGCTCCCTACGTGAGCACCGTTTCGGGTTGCCTTGCTGGCAAGTTTCCCAAAGGATATGAAGGTGTTGGTTGGGAGAACATCACGCGTTCCATCGCTGGTTGGCTGAAGCGTTACAGCTTCGCTACCTCAACAGTTGCGGGGCCAGGATCACAGGCCGATGTTCAGTCATTCATTGATCTCTATACTCAGGGATTTTCAGGGTTGCATTTGGTTGCAGCACATCCGAAAAATGACCATGCTCTCTGCGGAAAGATGAAGAAGCGACCCGTATAGCCACCATTTCAAGTTAACGTTTGAGCATTGTAAGGGCATCCGCAAAGTGTCTTTCCAACATGGGACCCATCGGCTAGGGTGTCGCTCATTGTGTTATCATGCACCACGGTTTGTAGGATGTGAGGTTGACCTTGTAAATAGCATAAGCGTGCTTTATCTAAAGATGATTAGATTGTGCTTTTATCATACTGGTAGTGACTACATGCAACATACTCGTAAACCCCCGTATATAGGACCCCCTCCAGTTGTAGACCCCCGGGTCTATAATACGGAGGGGGGTACTCTATTCGAGTCTATCCGAGTTATACCCCCCTAAATGGCTCCTGACATTATAAGACCCCCCACATCCTAGAGAAGTGTGTATTTTCAGCGAATGCAATGGAAAATGGTCCTATTCCATGTTCAGGTACAGACATCACACACATGAACGCGCATGCACAGGCCAATTATCAGCCTAATCCTCTCCAGCAACCCAGATCTCCACCTCCTCCCCCTCATATCGCCCTTCTGCCCACCACTCATCGCCATCATCCTCCTCCTCACCCGCTCCACCCTCCACCTCTGCACCGCCTTCCTCCTCACCCTCCTCACCCTCCTCGTCCTCCTCGTCCCCCTCCTCCTCGTCCGTGTCCTCCTCCTCGTCCTCCTCCTCCTCCTCCTCCTCCTCCTCCTCCTCCTCCTCCTCCTCCTCCTCCTCCTCCTCCTCCTCCTCCTCCTCCTCCTCCTCCTCCTCCTCCTCCTCAGCTGAAGAGGAGGCAGCATCCTTGTCCTTGCTCGAAGGGGCAGCAGGGTCAGGATAGAACGGGTTGGGGACGAGCTCCTCAAGCTCCTCCTCGCACACATCCTCCAGCACCTCCACCTCCGCCTTATCGCGGAGGTGAGCGAGGATCTGCTTCGGCTGGACTTTGGCGAGCTTGGCCAAACCTCGGACGCTCATAGGGGGCTGCGCGTCAAGCATCTTGAGCCAGTAAAGCTTCTCCTTGACGGTGTAAGCTTTCCGCTTCTTCTCCGTTCGTCGGCGCCTTGTCTCCGGCGTCTCTGCGTCACGCACCCGCTTCTTCTGTCCCCGCGGTCGGCTTGATTCCGGAAATACGGGAACCTTCACCTGCGGAAGCGGACGGCGTGGGCTCCCGCTGGGCTCCTTATTTGTCTCATCGCTGCTAGAGGAACTTGGCGTTGGCATGACGGGCCTGGGCGAAGGCCTAAGAACAGGAGGCTTCTGGACTTTCTTGCGGCGCCCGCGTCGAGCATCGGACGTCCCAGCATCTGGTGATGTCACCATGGCGGCTAAAGTGGGGATGAAGTGGCTGCTGGCTTCGAGGTGAAAAAGGAACAGGCAACCATCTTTTAGATGGCAGCCAGCCGAGCACAGTAAGGGGGGAAGAAACTGGAGGAGGAAGTGAAGTCAGCCCTCAAAAACAAGGACGTGCCAGACGACAGTACGGGAGTCTGAAGCTCCCGCCCTATAGGATCGCACGAAGCGTGCATGGGGTGTGCAGGTCGAGGCGACACTGCGCGCCGGGCCCATCAAACTGTGCCCTTCTCGCTTATGTCAACACCAAGTGATGTTTGTGCCCAATGGGAGGAGGCTTTTAGATAGGGTACGTGATGATGTGGGTTTGGCCCAGGAAGAGACCAGTTCGAGTATATTTGGGAGGTGCTAAAAACGGAGCAATTCCAATTCACTTCTTTGAGCTCCAAAACAGTAGACTTATAGAAGTCAATTTGAAAAGACCCGGGTCTTATAAAATATGTACCATTTAATTATACCCCCCAACTTTTTAAGGCCAGATTATCATAATACCCTAGGGTCTTATATACGGGGGTTTACGGTAATGTCACTACTAGCATTTAGATGGAGCAGTAATGATTAGACTGAATTTGTGATCTAGCATCCGTTTTGTATTTCATGGTACTGGTATATCGTATGGGTGGATTTTTTATTTGTGAACAGCATCAAGTATGTAGTGTAGTATTGTCAAAGTTGTATGTGTTACGTTTGGGGAAAATATGCCACAAGTAACCAACTTGGGACTCGATAACGTGAATGGTAAAAAAAAAACGCGTACGGTCACTGTATCGGGTTTCCTGACGGGTTTGGTAAGCGGGGTCACAGATTCAGTCACTAATAACAGGTAAGAAATCACGCGAATGGTCACACATGAAACTCCCGCCAAAAAAACTTGAAACTCAACAAAAATCCCGCTCGCCCCCAACCAATCTGCGAACTTGTAAAAAAACTAAAACCCAATCGGAATCGGATGCGGTTTGGGAATGGATCAACCCTAAACACCTGGCGAGTTACGTGTTTAGGGTTGACCTTCCGAAAATGCATCCAGGTTCTTTTTGGGTTTCATTTCGTTTTGGCGGGAGTTTCATCTGTGACCATTCGCGTTTTTTTTTACCAGTTGTTTGTGACTGATTCCGTGAAACGCTTTATCAGTCGCGTGAAAATACCCTTTGCAGTGACCGTACCCTTCATTTTTTTACCAAAAATGTTTTCGAGTCCCATGATGGTTACGAATGGCATATTTTCCCTTACGTTTGTTGTGTGACATTCCCCACCCCAGTCAGCACAACGCGCACGCAGCCTGCACACCAACAGCAGAGTGCACGCGTCGCCAGCGCGCACCCCGCCAGCAGAGCGCTTGTGCCGCCAGCAGAGCGCATGTGCCACCAGCGCACACCTCCCACGCGCACACGCCAGCACGCGCACCGCCACGAGCCCGCACCAGCAGCAGCGTGCACTGCTACCAGCGTGCCACCCGTCAGCGCGGCAGCAGCACACGCCGCTAGTGCGCCATCAAAGCACGCCACCACCCTGCCAGTGCTCGCCAAAAAGCACCAGCTCATCCCAAGCAGCACACCAGCGGCGGCTGGCAGCCACACCAGCTCCTACTGGCGTAGGTTGTGGCGCCGGGACGGCCGGGCGGCGGTAGTGCAGTCACCTGCTGCCTGGATAAGCAGGCAGGAGAGCGGAGTGGTCAGAGCTGTGGGCGGGTGGTTTGCTGGTTGGGGGAGTAAGCAGGAGAGGTGGCAGGGGTGTGAGGAAGAGAAGGAAGAGCGAAAACGTAGTAAGCGAGAGGGGAAGGAGGGGGAGGGGGCGGAGGGAGAAGAGGAAGGGGAGGAGGGAGAAGGGGAGGATGGTGAAGAGGGGGAGGTGGTGGCGGCTGTGGTGGAGGAGGTGGTGTGTCTACGAGGGGAGGTGACAGCAGCTGAAGAGAGGGAGTGAACCATCAAAGCACAGTGAGTCGCCGCCTACTGCTGCCCATGGCGCTGCTGCTGCTGCTGCCGCTGCCACTGCTACCGCTGCTGCTTTCTTCCTGTGCCTCACTTGTTCATTTCTTTTATTTCTTTCTATTCTTTCCTCACTCATTGTACCCTATCACTACTTTGTTAAGATTGAGTTGATAGGCCATGGCTAGCGCGAGAGAAGGTAGCGAGAGAAATTGATTACCAGAGAGAGTGTCGAGATACAAATGTAGGAACCCCTAATTGAACTTAGGGTGTGTTCAATTTGTGCTAGAAACTAAGAAATGAACCTAAACTGAACCGAAAGTGGAACGCGCACTGAACATGGCGAAACAACAAAAGAACACTATAATAAATGCCAGAGCGAGCTCTAGCCTACTCCAACATACTTTTCCTCAGTCCCTCCCTCTTCCTTCGCCTTCTCCTTTCCGTGTTCAGGCTGTGTCATCTAGACGAACTCTTGAAGGAGTCTCTGCTCGTACAGTATCGGCCCACCAGAACGGGAAGTAGAAGGCATGCATAGGTCGCTCTCTTTCCATCCCTACTCTTTCTCTTCCACTTCCAAATGCTCTCTTGTACCCGCAAACGTTTCTATGTTTTATCCTCCCTATTTTTCCCTCTCCCTCCTTGCTTCCACTCCTCCTAGAAATGGGAATCAACACCAAACGACTCACCTACTCAAAACAACACCACCACAGAGGAGGACGAGTGGGTGCAGCGCTTCGTAACACTCACGACCACTGACATATCATGCTACCTGCACGCCATCGACCTGCACCCCCAGCTCACCTCCCCATTGCTTCCATCGCCTCTGCTGGAACTCTACACATGGCCCCTGCAACTCCGGCTGTAACACCGAATGCTCACCGGCTGTAGCAGTGAAGACATCATCTACTGTAGCGCCGGCTGTAGCAGCGCCGAGATCATCATCATTTGAGGAGTGGTTTGCGTTCCACGTGACGGCCAGCTACGGGTTCAAGCCGGAATGTGCCACTCGTAGCTGTGCCAAGGTGAGGACTAGGTGCATGGATGGATTTTCGGATGGATGGATGGATGGATGCATGCATGCATGGACGGATGGATGGATGCATGCATGCATGGACGGATGGATGGATGGATGCATGCATGGACGGATGGATGGATGGATGCATGCATGGACGGATGGATGGATGCATGCATGCATGCATGGACGGATGGATGGATGCATGCATGCATGGACGGATGGATGGATGGATGCATGCATGGACGGATGGATGGATGGATGCATGCATGGACGGATGGATGGATGCATGCATGCATGGACGGATGGATGGATGGATGCATGCATGGACGGATGGATGGATGGATGCATGCATGGACGGATGGATGGATGGATGCATGCATGGACGGATGGATGGATGGATGCATGCATGGACGGATGGATGGATGCATGCATGCATGGACGGATGGATGGATGCATGCATGCATGGACGGATGGATGGATGCATGCATGCATGGACGGATGGATGGATGGATGCATGCATGGACGGATGGATGGATGGATGCATGCATGGACGGATGGATGGATGCATGCATGCATGGACGGATGGATGGATGGATGCATGCATGGACGGATGGATGGATGGATGCATGCATGGACGGATGGATGGATGGATGCATGCATGGACGGATGGATGGATGGATGCATGCATGGACGGATGGATGGATGCATGCATGCATGGACGGATGGATGGATGCATGCATGCATGGACGGATGGATGGATGGATGCATGCATGGACGGATGGATGGATGGATGCATGCATGGACGGATGGATGGATGCATGCATGCATGGACGGATGGATGGATGGATGCATGCATGGACGGATGGATGGATGGATGCATGCATGGACGGATGGATGGATGGATGCATGCATGGACGGATGGATGGATGCATGCATGCATGGACGGATGGATGGATGGATGCATGCATGGACGGATGGATGGATGCATGCATGCATGGACGGATGGATGGATGCATGCATGCATGGACGGATGGATGGATGGATGCATGCATGGACGGATGGATGGATGCATGCATGCATGGACGGATGGATGGATGCATGCATGCATGGACGGATGGATGGATGGATGCATGCATGGACGGATGGATGGATGCATGCATGCATGGACGGATGGATGGATGCATGCATGCATGGACGGATGGATGGATGCATGCATGCATGGACGGATGGATGGATGGATGCATGCATGGACGGATGGATGGATGGATGCATGCATGGACGGATGGATGGATGCATGCATGCATGGACGGATGGATGGATGCATGCATGCATGGACGGATGGATGGATGGATGCATGCATGGACGGATGGATGGATGCATGCATGCATGGACGGATGGATGGATGCATGCATGCATGGACGGATGGATGGATGGATGCATGCATGGACGGATGGATGGATGCATGCATGCATGGACGGATGGATGGATGCATGCATGCATGGACGGATGGATGGATGCATGCATGCATGGACGGATGGATGGATGGATGCATGCATGGACGGATGGATGGATGGATGCATGCATGGACGGATGGATGGATGCATGCATGCATGCATGGACGGATGGATGGATGCATGCATGCATGGACGGATGGATGGATGGATGCATGCATGGACGGATGGATGGATGGATGCATGCATGGACGGATGGATGGATGCATGCATGCATGGACGGATGGATGGATGGATGCATGCATGGACGGATGGATGGATGGATGCATGCATGGACGGATGGATGGATGGATGCATGCATGGACGGATGGATGGATGGATGCATGCATGGACGGATGGATGGATGCATGCATGCATGGACGGATGGATGGATGCATGCATGCATGGACGGATGGATGGATGCATGCATGCATGGACGGATGGATGGATGGATGCATGCATGGACGGATGGATGGATGGATGCATGCATGGACGGATGGATGGATGCATGCATGCATGGACGGATGGATGGATGGATGCATGCATGGACGGATGGATGGATGGATGCATGCATGGACGGATGGATGGATGGATGCATGCATGGACGGATGGATGGATGGATGCATGCATGGACGGATGGATGGATGCATGCATGCATGGACGGATGGATGGATGCATGCATGCATGGACGGATGGATGGATGGATGCATGCATGGACGGATGGATGGATGGATGCATGCATGGACGGATGGATGGATGCATGCATGCATGGACGGATGGATGGATGGATGCATGCATGGACGGATGGATGGATGGATGCATGCATGGACGGATGGATGGATGGATGCATGCATGGACGGATGGATGGATGCATGCATGCATGGACGGATGGATGGATGGATGCATGCATGGACGGATGGATGGATGCATGCATGCATGGACGGATGGATGGATGCATGCATGCATGGACCGATGGATGGATGGATGCATGCATGGACGGATGGATGGATGCATGCATGCATGGACGGATGGATGGATGCATGCATGCATGGACGGATGGATGGATGGATGCATGCATGGACGGATGGATGGATGCATGCATGCATGGACGGATGGATGGATGCATGCATGCATGGACGGATGGATGGATGCATGCATGCATGGACGGATGGATGGATGGATGCATGCATGGACGGATGGATGGATGGATGCATGCATGGACGGATGGATGGATGCATGCATGCATGGACGGATGGATGGATGCATGCATGCATGGACGGATGGATGGATGGATGCATGCATGGACGGATGGATGGATGCATGCATGCATGGACGGATGGATGGATGCATGCATGCATGGACGGATGGATGGATGGATGCATGCATGGACGGATGGATGGATGCATGCATGCATGGACGGATGGATGGATGCATGCATGCATGGACGGATGGATGGATGCATGCATGCATGGACGGATGGATGGATGGATGCATGCATGGACGGATGGATGGATGGATGCATGCATGGACGGATGGATGGATGCATGCATGCATGGACGGATGGATGGATGGATGCATGCATGGACGGATGGATGGATGCATGCATGCATGGACGGATGGATGGATGCATGCATGCATGCATGGACGGATGGATGGATGGATGCATGCATGGACGGATGGATGGATGCATGCATGCATGGACGGATGGATGGATGCATGCATGCATGGACGGATGGATGGATGGATGCATGCATGGACGGATGGATGGATGCATGCATGCATGGACGGATGGATGGATGCATGCATGCATGGACGGATGGATGGATGCATGCATGCATGGACGGATGGATGGATGGATGCATGCATGGACGGATGGATGGATGGATGCATGCATGGACGGATGGATGGATGCATGCATGCATGGACGGATGGATGGATGCATGCATGCATGGACGGATGGATGGATGGATGCATGCATGGACGGATGGATGGATGCATGCATGCATGGACGGATGGATGGATGCATGCATGCATGGACGGATGGATGGATGGATGCATGCATGGACGGATGGATGGATGGATGCATGCATGGACGGATGGATGGATGGATGCATGCATGGACGGATGGATGGATGGATGCATGCATGGACGGATGGATGGATGCATGCATGCATGGACGGATGGATGGATGCATGCATGCATGGACGGATGGATGGATGGATGCATGCATGGACGGATGGATGGATGGATGCATGCATGGACGGATGGATGGATGCATGCATGCATGGACGGATGGATGGATGGATGCATGCATGGACGGATGGATGGATGGATGCATGCATGGACGGATGGATGGATGGATGCATGCATGGACGGATGGATGGATGGATGCATGCATGGACGGATGGATGGATGCATGCATGCATGGACGGATGGATGGATGCATGCATGCATGGACGGATGGATGGATGGATGCATGCATGGACG